ACCAGCACCAGCTTCTAGGATTTTAGTTGTTTAGCAGCTCCATCAAATAAGAATCAGGGCTAAAAGTGTGCTGAAACAAAAAAAGAGATCAAAATCTCAGTGCTAAGAAAGTTACTTTTAAAGTGTAATAGATTACAAATTACTACTTACCTTGTTAAAATGTAATAAGTAATGTAACTATTTTAGTCATTTCATCAAAGTAATGCAACTTATTAATTGTAATTATTTTGCTTACTTTTCTTTAAATTTTTTTAATCTGAACAATAAAGCTGAAAAGTCCTAACATAAATTCAAACCAGGCAGTGTAAACCTCACAACAGTGCTCGACACCTATTACAGTTAAACTTTTATTAAAGGTTCTTCAACATAACTTCAGGTACACAATATATTACTGTTGAGGCATGCAGGCTACTGAACGGACACCAAGCAAAGCCCTTTTCTCTATTTCAGAAGGAAAATGCTGCTGAATTTCCAGTACTGAAAAGCGTTCCTGTTCGACAAGATGATCACCGGCCTTGGCGTTGTAGCCAGTCATGGCAGATTCAGGTAATAATTAGATAATTAGAGTAATGTGTGTCGATTTGACTGAAAGAGAGGTGGTGCAAAGTCAAACAAGAAAACAAATTAAAAGCAACATTCAAAATTCAATGCATGCTGCCAAATCAATGGAGTCTAGATGTGGAGACAGCTCCTTATTAGCCATCCTACCCTTGATTTGTCTCAGCAGCTTTGTAGAAGAAAAAGAAGCTTTATTTTATTATACAATGAAATTTTATTTGGAGCTGAGGGCCCCGGGCCACTGCATGCATACACGCTGCCATCACGGTCAACTTGGGGGGTTCAGTGTCTTGCCCAAGGACACTTTGACATGTGGACTACAGGCACCGAGATTCAAACCCTCAACCTTCCGGATGGGAGATGACTTCTCTACCCACCGCACCACTGTCACAGTGACACTACAAAATAATATAGGGCATCCCTAATGCTAGTAGGAACAGTTCTTCATGTATTTCATTTTGAAGCAAGTGACAGACTGACATTACCATGCACTGAATATCAGTGTTTGCACTAAAAACACAAGACAAAATGAGACTGTCTGTGTGAAACATAACATCTGCTGCTGTCTAATTTCACTGAGAAACCAAACTTTGAACAGAACTGCGTGGTTCACATCTGTAAATATGATTAAAGCACTGCATGGCTTTAGCAGCTGGTCACCTCTGAGTATCATTACAGCAGTCTGAGTCTACACTGTATCTCTTGCTGCCTCCACTGAGGTATTTTTGGCTTGTTGGACAACGTTTCTAAACATGTGTTAGAGATTTTCCCTCCACACTAACAGATTTGATAGAGTGATTTTCTTTTCTTTTTTTTTCAAGACTTAGATCAGTGCATTCTTTTCAAATATTTACAGGACAAATAATATTTTCATTGCTTTTTCCCATAAATCAACAAGGAATCTAAAGGAACTCCTCTACACACCAAATAAAAATTCACCCTGACATGAGGGACATTGTAGAGGATCTAATGGTTTATTTTGAGGTGTCCACTGTCAGCAGAGAGTGATGGTTTATTGTCTGGGAACTTTCCAACATTTGTGTGCTCTGGAAAAAAAAAAAACGTGTTGAGCCTTCTCTGTCTGTGATGGTTTGAATTTGCAGATATGATTTCACAATGACTGGTAGTAGCTGCTGCTGTTTGTTATGGTTATTTCCTTTTCACGACATCCTCGGTCACAGATCAAGCATAATTAAACTAGACAATCAACTACAGTGGAGATAGATTAGTACCCTCTTTGTACCTGTTGTGGCAAGTCTACTTAAGGTCATTCAAATCTTGCATTCAGAATCTTATGCACTAAGAAAGGCTTGTTCCATACAATTTAACTGTCCAAGTAAAACTGATATGCACATACAATATAGACAGTCATTTGAGATCTTCTTGTTGGAACTATGGCTCACTATAATGTAATTCTTCCAGCCTATGTCATTCTTGGAGAGGATGGAAGCACATGATGTGGTGGCCAAGAAGGTATCGCTTTGAGAAAGCTGAATTTGAGGTCTTGCAGTACATCAATGCTAGCTTGCCACCTGGAGCTCACCTGCCCGGGATGCACATACTTTCCTCCTCTCTAGTTGCCTGACTGTCTCCTACCATTTATAACTCATAAGTCGATGTCTTAAATGTCCAGCCAGCTCTGTGATAAATGACTGATGTTGAAATTCAGGAATCTAGTGTTACTTCTGACTGAATTCCTTTGACCATGAATGGCTCACTTTCTGTTTCAGTGAAGAATAGTGACTAGCTGGTAGGGATAGTGTGACTGTCTCTGTGGGGTGTCTGTCAGGATGTGGGAATCAGGTACTCCTTTTCAAGGTGTTTATTTAGGATCCTAAACCTCCTACTTTCTACTGCGATGGGTGCGCCCAGATGTGTGTGTGTGTGTGTGTGTGGTCTAGGAGGGATACAGAAATAAAAATGAGTTAAGCCAACAGAGGAGTGAAACTGTAGAAGAGCTCTTGTGTAATATATCATTAACATTAACACTAGCAGGAATTACACAAGAGATAACAACTGGAATGAGCATTGTATTATCCATAATAGAAGAAACATACAAGAAAAGACAACCACTGCAGTGATGGACATTACTCTAGCAGTGTCTCGCTGTACAGAAACAGCAATAACACTAACACAGGAAATCCTGCTTCTGGGACTAACAGGCCACAGTGAAACACATGGCTAATGGTTAGCACACATAGCATATAGACATATCAGGCACATGCACTTCAAACTATCATACAGTAACATGCAAAGGCTGATGCAGACAATGGTTATAACATTATAGTTATAACCACTATCAAACACACTGTCGTTGTTCTAACAGCGACTGATATTGGATCTTAATTAGCGGTGAATGGCTGAATACATCAGAGCTGGCCCAGACATTGGTGACATAAGCAGTTAGCTAGAGAGCCAAATTCCTGGAGGGGTGCCACGCAAAAGTTTTTTTTATTAATAGTATTTTTGCCCTTCTACTCTGTTGAGGCAAAATGTCCCACTAACATACAGGTTACAGAAAACAGCCTTTATAGTAGTAAATGCTACAACCAATATACAGTATATTACTTTTGATTATATACTTTTCTTTGTTAATGCTATATGAATATCTAGTTTGCATTAAAGTGCAGTTTAGTTTGAAAAGCAAACACTGGCACTGACCTAACATTGTGTGTGTGTAGGGGGTGTGGGAGCGATTCAACAAGTTGCTTAGGGCACCAAGAGAAAGAGGGGCTTGGGCATTCCTACTGCCTAGAGACCCAGGGCTGGCCCTGCCACCTGCAGTGATGTCTGTTCACTCATCTCTCTTCTTCTTCTTCCACTGATGTCTTAAACACTTCATCATAGCCATGTAAGTCTTGGTAGCAGATGGTGTTGGAAGAACCAGGTCTTGAACGTACCTAGCAGGCTTTCTCAGCCTGTTTCACTGGCTTTGGACATGAAGTTTCTGTCAGTGAGACAGGTATCATACCACTTACCCAGACATTTTATTGGGTTTTTGTCAATTTGTTGGTATAATCTCCCCCTAGACCTGAAGCTGGAACTTGCTGGTCACTTTTCCATTTCTGATCACCATCTTGACATCCTTAGCGTGAACTCTGTTCTTGCTTATGTTGCCAAGTCATCAAGTACCTTCAGGATCCACCTGGCGTGTACAGGTGGTGAAGCTGTTAGTGTTATATTGTCCATATAGCCTCTTGGAGGTTGCCTGACTGAATTCTTTCCCTGCTGTTGTTATGACCAGATTCATTCCCATGATAAATAAGATGGGGGAGCTATTACAACCTGTTATGATTCCTGTTTCCAGGTCCTACCACTGAGTTGTAAAATAAACAGTCTGAACCCGTAACTTGAATCCTCCAAATCCTCCACTGGTGATAATTCCTCTGATGTGGTGGGGGATGAGTTAATGTTACATTGCTCTTTGTTCATTACTCTAACCATGACAACAAAGACTTAGGGCATGATAACAACACACTGAACTACCTTGTAGGTGGACTAGGGCCTGATACGCATGATAATTGTTTTGGTGCTCATAAGCAAATATTAGTACGCTTACATACTAAACTAAGCATGTCCATACTAACCATCAGCATGTCCACTTTGTTATCACAACCATGTTAATGTGTTGAAATTAGCATTTAACTCAAAGCAGTGCGTTGCCAAAGTAAAGTCTCATGGAACTGTGAGTGTAGTTTTCTGGGACAGAAACAACACATGCTGTTTGTAATAATGAAGATACTGTAGCTGTTACACTGTGTATCCTGCTCAGTACTGTTGTAGCTATTCAGCAATGAAGCAGCTCACTTATGCCCTTTCAAATAAAAGATGTCTCCTTGTGGGCTCTGACAGTATTTACTTGGATCCTCTTCCCCTAAAACCGACAAGATCACAGTGATTCAAGTTTATGCCGTCGTCGGACATACTGCCACTGCACCATGGAAACCACAGAGAAGAGAAGGGTTAAACACCCTTTAAGTCAGTTTCAGGATGAAGATTTAAATTGTGGAAATGTCAGATTTTTAAACAATCAGCTTCTACATCTGACTGATCAGCAGCCTGTAAAAAGTTTGGCAGGCTAAAATCTTACAGTAAGCCAAAAGCACAGATGCTTGTTTGACATATAGACTACTACTGTAGGCTGAAGTGTTTTCCTCCCCTCAGCTTGTGTTAAGCTGTGTATACTTAGAACACCACAAGACTGGAAAGAGAGGGAGGAGAGGAAAAAGAAGAGAACGAGCTGAGGGTGGAGGTGTGTGTATGTGTGTGTGTGTGTGTGTGTGTGTGTGTGTGTGTGTGTGTGTGTTTCGAACTGGAAATGGGCAGGAAGGAGGAGGAATGTGAAACATTTCTGATGCTGGTCCAGTGACTGTTTACATGGTAGTCAGGCCGTGACATCAGAGTCCAGACTTTATAAATGTCAGCAGGCACAAGAATGAGCAGTTAGCAAACAGCTACCCTGGTTGCACCACAGCGTCACACAGGTTAGTGAGACAGAGTTAGCTCAGCAACACAAGCCCCCATGGACCGTCTGTTCTGTGACTGTGTGATCACTGTGGCTGTACTGCTGTGTGCGGCTACACAGGTGAGACTTGTTCCTGCTTATTTACAGTGGTTAGTTACCAATGAGATGGCTGTGTGTGTGTGTGTGTGTGTGTGTGTGTGTGTGTGTGTGGGAGAGAAAGAGAGAGAGAGAGAGAAGGAGGTTCATATAATGAAGCTGATTTCCTGTGATTAATTTATTTACTTTGACTAACCCTTTTGAAACATTTTTCTCTGCAGGAAACCACTAAAGCTGAGTCTCAGATTGTACATTTCTTGTGTACTGAAAGAAATGTATCATTACTCAGATTTGAAATTAAGGCTGTAATAAACAATTTTAACTTTTTACCTGTAATTTTTCAATATCTGTCGTTTCTTTTCATATTTGGTCTATATTAAAGAATAATGAAAAATAAAATCCCATAATAATTCACTAATGCCAAAACTGATGTCATCCAATTGTTTGTTTTTGTCTGACCATTATTCCCAAACCTGAAGATACTCAGTTTTTGTCTGTGATGTCATAATAGACAGAAAAAACAGCAAATACTCTGAGAACTGAGAATTTGTTTGAAAACAACTTAATTGATTATTATTAATCTGCATCAAAAATGATGCAGATTATTTTTCTGTAAGTAAGTATACTATTTCTGTAGTGTACTGTTACATACTCACAGAAACATGTTATTAGTGTGATCATGTTGTTTTTTTGTTTAAAGCTGATGAACAGTGAGGAAATAAAGAAATTTGTGATGTCCTTGCATTACACTTGTGAGAGTAGGAGTCACTTGCCGGGCAGCACATGAAAACCAGCGTAGACTGTGTTTCTTCACAGTGTCCTTGTCAGGAAGCACCAGAGGATTTCATCTGCCCCGGTTAAGTCAGACTGGGCTTGTTCTGTTTTGGCTCCATCAGATTCATGTAATTGAAAACAACGGTTTGGCCCGACAGTGTTGGATACTGAGAATAACATTTCTTTACTTCTTCATATAGTAATGAGGATAATCATTTAGATGATGATTATTATGCTGCTGATGATAACAGAATTCTTCATACCACAGGCTGCACTGATGAGGATGTTTTTTTGGCTCACTACTCTTTGCACTAACATCCTCTAGCCTGGCTCTGTGCATGTTGTCTCAGCAGATGTGGTGCCAGCTGTGTGACAGGCCCTGCCTTTGCCCAGGTCCCTCCCCTCAGTGCCCCACAGGAGTCCCGCTGGTGTTGGATGGCTGTCGGTGCTGTCAGGTGTGTGCCCGGCAGCGAGGCGAATCCTGCACTGAGATGTTTCCGTGCGACAACCAGAAAGGGCTGCAGTGTGACTACAGCGCCAGCTTCCCCGGGGACTCTGGGGAGTGTGTCAGTGAGTGCAAGTGACCAGGCCCATGTTTGTGTGGATAGGGGCATACTGTACAAGGAGGGGGTGATAGTGCCTCAGTTAGTCAGCCTGAGCAGTATGAACAGACAGTTAAAGTTCTGAGCCCGCTCAGATAAACTGAGCAGCCTGCTGGGCAGCAGTGCTCTGCCAGAACTCCAAAACATTCATACTTCTATTTCCAGGGCTGCTGCTGACACATTTACACTAATAACTGTTCTTTGACTATAACAGACTGCAGTGACAACACTTGCTTATTTAAAAAAAGACTCATTAGTTTCTCAGTAGAGAGGCCTGGTTTTCCTCTAAAACTACATAACTGCTAACGGAGACAGCAACTCCTGTGTCCTCACCTCTGTCTGTCTGTTACTCTCTCTCTTTCATTTTCCTCTGTTGTGTCCCGCTGCATCCATTCACCTACATCTCCCCTCCCCCCTTTTTCACCTAATGTAATCCTTTCACTTCCTGAATACGTTTCCCTGTGGCTGAGAAAAAAAACAGCACCTGTGCTGCGTTTCTTACAGGTAAGGAGGATCTGGGCTGTGAAGTCAATGGCGTCACTTACCAAGACGGCCAGTCGTTTCAGCCCTCCTGTGACACTTACTGTCACTGCAGAGGTGGAGGAGTGACCTGTGTGCCAACTTGCCCTCTGACTGGCCGTCTTCCCACTCCAGACTGCCCAAACCCACAGTACGTTCGGTTGCCAGGGAAATGCTGCAAGGAATGGGTGTGTGAAAACCTTGAAAACACAGTTATTCAGGATGCCATCACAGGTAAACTTTACTGGTGAATGAATTATATTATAGATGTTAAATCCACCCTTAAAAGGACAACACATCCAACATCTTCTGATGCTGGTTTTATTATACATTTTAAAATAAATGTCTGACTAGTAGCAGCAGTGAAATACAGTATTTCACAAAATGTTCCTTTAAGTTTTATCCTGACATCAGAGCTGAATACTTACAACATATTTTCCAGCGGCAGGGAGCTGGTGCCAGATGTATCTCCACATGCACTACGACTCAATTCCTCAGCTACAGTCACTCAGTGATGATCAGTCCATATGGCACATGATCCTTTCCTCGTTTGTGGTCATGTCTGGAAGTTTTTACTGGAACATTTTAGCATTAAATTGTGGTGTGTCTGGCCAAAAGAAACCTCCCAAAGTCTAAATATAATCCCACATTTCTTCAGAAGAGTCAAAACATATTTTTCCTTGTCATTACGTTTCCTAGTTTCACAACAACCGACTGCAGCTATGTGACAATTAAGCATGAATCCATGCAGAGACTTCATTACTCTTTTAAAGGATAGTGTGTTTGTGAGAGGGAAAGAAGGGGTGTGTTAGGGAAAAGAAGCCACTCTAAAAACATCTGGAATTCTAAACACAGTCAGAATGAAACTATGTAATGAGATCAGTAAAAGAACATTTTGTTCCTGTAAACAGAAGCTGCCATGTTTTGCCTGAGAATCTCCTGATTATTATGACTTATGTACATGCTAGTTTTGGAAGGAACAAATATTTGCTTCAAATTTCTTAATTCACAGTAATCCTAAATATTACAATGAACTAGAATTTTTTAGGGCAGAAAACAATCAGATGACATTAAAGTTACCGAGAGTGAGTCACCTACTATAGGTGAGTGAGGTCAGTCGGCATCTACTTTAGAGCAGAGTTTGGTTATTGTAGTTTGGCTGCTACTTATCACAGTCAGCAGGTGAAGCTGTGACACATGATACACTTTCACATATTCTTAGTGTGTGATATCATCATCTCCACTCTTCCTTGTAAATACAGGTCCATTATTCCACTTAAAAATCAAAGAAAACAGATGCTCCTTGTAACTGCAGAACTTGCCTGAGAATCCTCACATTTTTAATTTGCCTTGAGTATCAAAGTAATCCAGTGAGAGATGTTTGTACACCCATGAGTTCCCTGCAAACAGGAACTGCTAGTAGTTAATTCAGCACACGTTTGAATATGCCAAGATGCTAAAATGTAAACAAATAGTCTAAAACCATTATACAACATTATATTTCCTGATGACATCCCCCAGAGTATCATGGGGCTGTACATCTAAAACATGATTAATGATGTCCCCCCGATATGAGGAAGTGGTTGTAGGCAGATGTTGTTGCTGTTTCCCCCAGTTTCCAGTCTTGTGCTGATTCAAGTAAACCAGCTGCTGGCTGTAGTTTCATAGTGTAGACGGGAAATCATGAACTGGGAATGTAATTTAAATTTGCTTCTTACTCCAATCATTGTTTTATTTCATTTCTTCAGCCATGCGTCCTGGCAGGTTGTCTCCAGCTCTCCCAAGGGATCACCCACTAAATAAACTGGTCCTACCTGCCTCCACCTGTGTAGAGCAGAGCACCCAGTGGAGTGCCTGTTCCCAGAGCTGTGGGGCTGGGGTCTCTACACGAGTTTCTAACCAGAATCCTGCCTGCAAGCTGCAAATGGAGACTCGACTTTGCAAAGTGAGGCCTTGCCATGCAGTGCAGCCTGCCCCCAGGACACCGGTGAGTTTCTGTCTGTGTGACACACTGTTGTATGCTCTAAGATTTTATCTCCCCATGTTCTTGTCATGGTTTTAAAGCGGTTCTGAGATAATGAACTCTGGAACTTTTAGTTTTAGAGATGATTATCTTGTGGGGACAAGCTGTCTAGTTTGATACCACAAAGGATGTGTGAAAATATGTAACTGACAGTTTAGCAAGAAACATTTATCGAAATGACTCATACAAATTTCGCTCAGAAGCACTGCTGCTGTTCAGTAGGTGCAACCAAATCTAAAAATAAAACTGCTAAAGGGAAAATGGAAAGACAAGAGCAACATGTATCACACTTTGCTGTATGTGCAGTGACAATGTTCAGTGGCAATGAATGCGACATGTCAACATTTAGCACTTTTATTAACCCTAATTATGATTCTCCTTAAATGTAATCGGTGGTTTTGTGGCCTAATCTCAATTACAACCTAATCATATTTTACCCCTGTCTTCCAACCTTAGTTTCCACACCCAGATATTGCAGAAAGTGAGGATTTTAAAGTTGTTAGCACTGATGAAAATGCAGTTGTAATCTGGGGTTTGAAGAATTATCTGATTGATGATTTGATCTGCTTTTATTTGCTTCCTGGATGTATGCCTCCAACCCTTGTTCTGTGTGTGTGGGTGTGTTGCTGCAGTGGGGGCAGCAGGGGTGGTGCAAGGCGAGCTACATGTCACCAGGGCCCATTCGGCTTGTTCACCAAGGCTGCTACAGCACTCACACCTACCAGCTCCGGTACTGTGGACAGTGCTCTGACTCTCGCTGCTGCACACCGCATCAAACCAGCACTGCTGAGGTGACCTTTAGCTGCCCCTCTGGCAGACTGCTACAGCGAGCCGTGATGATGATCCACTCGTGTGTCTGTCACAACAACTGCCCCTACACACCATTCAGTAACCCTGCTTTGTGGGGATACAGGCCCTGACCAGCCTGTAGGAGCACTGGTTTATTCAGAACAATAGGACGTCACTGGCCGAGTGGAGGCCTGGATTGTGGGAGAAACCTTAGGCTTCTTCTTATCAATGGACCTTGAAAGAGAAAATGATCATTGTTAATAAAACTGTTTGAGTTGGGATGAACAGTGATCTTCACATACAGTATGAACAACTTCAGTCTGCACTTATTCACAGCTCCTATTCCAGCATCTTGAGAAGCCATTATTGTGGTGGTTTTGACCTTATCAAGATTACTATCAAGCAACCTTTGACAGTATGTAGCACTATTGAAACGGAAGTTACAAAGTGTTTTACAGGAAAAATGAAAAACAGAGGCAGATGAGACAGAGAAAGCAATATATACATTAAGGGCAAATAGGTGCATAATCTATTGGGTAAAAGTTGTAGAAATAAGAAAACAAATTGGTTTGAAGATTCTTTTTAAAATGTGCAATGATGTGGGTTCTCTGAGACTTCCTCCATTAGAGTTCAGAGAGCACAATTTCTTAAGGTGCCTGGTGTCAACAGTCAGCCTCTGTGAATTTTTAAAACCAATCTTCAAAGTGACAAGGAGCCCATGATTCAAACTGGGGTCATGTGTGATTATTATTATATAAACATTGCTGAAAGGTTCTGGACCCTCTCCTGTCAGGACTGAGAATGTTTTCTGAGGCTGCTGCATGAGCTCTAACAGTAATCAAGATGTGATGTGGTAAAAGCAGGGCTAACTTTTTCCAGATCCTTGGGCTGAGGTTGGACTCTGATTTTCGCAATTCTCCTTAGCTGGAAACAAGAAAAACAGCAACAACAAAGCAGGACTGAACCAGATGTATGTAGCTTTGGCTTAGAATATGGCAGGTGGACCAATTAAATCAGAGTAAATCTGCATGATTGTATCTCAGCTTAGACAAAGAATTTCTTGGAATTCACCTAAAAACGTCACTATGAACTGAAGAGCATGATATCCATGTGGTCATAATAGTTTTATAGATGTTCGCATTGCTAACCAGAAATATGTGTCAAAGAGCAAAAAAAAAATGTCAGTGACTAAAAAAATACACAATTGTTTGGTAGACGTTGCCCAGAGTGACTGAGATGTGGTTTCCTGATGTGAGCAATGCAACTTTTAACTGGTACAGTTTTGTTTGTTTGATATTGCACTTATTTTTTCACTTTCAGTTTAGTTGTAAATAATTTTGGACAGATGTCTGATGTATAGTGAAAAATATTTCAGTATTTTCCATGTCGCTCATTTTAATTGTTTATCTTTTGTACAACAATATTCACAGATTTCTATAGTTATTTTGTTTATGCTTTCATTTATTGCATTCCTTTTCCAACATCTGACTTTATCATTCCTTCTTCTTCTTGCTGATGTGCTGTTGAAAATTTTACTGAGACCCACAACACACTGCTTTATCACCAGCATCATCAAATGGGATTTTACATTTTGACTTTATATCTGATTGAGGGAAAAAGGTGCAGCTTTTCATTTTTCACATTTTGATCACAAATTTTTAAAGATGTAATTGTCTTTCATTATTTTCTTGATTTGAGGACTGCTTCAGAACATGTCTTGTCCATGTCTCCTTGCTCCTAATCATTCGTATCCGAGTGGTTAACTTAACTAGCATTTAAATTTTACACGTTAAAATGTGTAAACTCTTAACTGTATGATTACATTTATATTATATTCCATTAAATTTTCAGCATTACGGTATACTTCATGTATAAATCTAACATAAAAACCCTGGATAAAGGATAAACCTAGGATAAAAAAGGATAACTTACAGTACAAATAAGGAGACAGCTAGGCTAGCAGCTCTGTACAGTGATGCTTTGAGTTACATGCTAACGTCACTGTGGCCTGACAAAATTGAACCGGCACAGAACACAAATACTTTTTGAGTTCTTTATTTTGAATGATAAAATTGGGTCCAGTAAAACAGTATGAGCTGACAAATAATAAAAGACAAAAGCTGTTGGTGAGCTACAAAGTCCTTTTATTTAAACCAGGTTTCTGACTTCTCTATGCACATCAACAGACTTATCTAGCCTGGTGTCATACTTATCTTCAGTATAAAAATAACAAACAAGACTAAATAAAAGACCAAAAGAAATTAAGATGACCCAAATAAAATAACATGTACTTTTTTTGTTGAATACCTACTATTCTAATAAAAATGCACTGCAGCCACTCCACCCTCTAGTAAGCACAGCAACGGACATACTGGTACACAGTCATCTTGACACCGATTGACCTGGATATTTGCATGTGACAGCGCTACTCACTTACCAGTACTGTAGAGGGTAAAATTTATGGTGACAGATGTGTTGAGTAGAGGTGGGCGATACTGTAAAATTTGGTATCGATCCGATACCAAGTAAATACAGGGCCAATATCACCGATACCGATACCGATACCGATATTTTTTTTAAAGCACACAATATAAATTACATTCACTTTCTTGTATAGGGGATATCAGTGTTTAACTTAAGAGCATATACATTAGACATCAGAAATGTAACATTTCTCCTGCTAGCCTAAAACATAATAATGAATGCGGAGTTAAAATAAAACCTAACTGTACAGAAAGTCCGTCTGCAGTAATCGATGCACGACACACTCCGCAAATCCCACGGGTCACACGCTGGAACTAAAATCTGTAAACATCCAACATATGCATCGCTATAAACAAATGAAACTTACAGAATTACGTACACACAACACTCTTAGGCGACTGTCAACTTACATTCGGTTAGTACAAACTCGCGGTGTACAAGATTTACCTTCAACAACCAATTACAGAACTTCCGCTGAAATACCGCTTCAGTCAGGTAAACACACATGGCTTTTTATGTTTCCCAGAATCCAATGGATTGATACCCAGCATCCTCTACGTTCCCAGGGTTACTTCTCTAAAAGCGGTAGCACCCCTTTTTCCATATCTAACAGGTGCATTTCCACCCGGCTACATATCACATATAGATTACTGAATGTAATAATACGAACACAATGGCTACAGCTATGCCTCCTAAGTAAAGCTAGCTATCTGGCTGATTAGAGCAGTAGCAGAGCCCCCTCACATCTCTGCAAACATCTAAGCAATTTTATATTTGGCATTACTTAGATAGACTGACCACACATTTGAAAACAAGATGGTTATTTTCTTGCCTGAAAAAACATAAATGTTTAATGAAGTGGCATAATAATAGTCTGAGGACGACAATTACAACAGCTCTGAGCCTGTGCCACCACCGTGGGAACATGGGATAGTGTAGTGTCCACTGCTTTCATACTACAGAGTTGTGTAGGTCATCCGGGTACGACTCGCATACATATTTTTCCATATTAAAAATTCATACATACTACTTACTGGGCATGCACGCTGTTGCCTACTACATAGTAGACAAATAGGCAATTTCTGTATCTGCAATGCAGTAGACAAGATGGCTTCCTGCTTTTCCAGTCTCTCTCTACTCTATCCCCAATGTCCTTTGCACTCGAAGGGATACCCAAAAGGCATGGTGTCCTCTGGTGGTGTTAATGAAAAATACAGCACTATTTCCCACCTGGTACATCAGCATGCCAATATGCTTACAGTGACAATATAATGTCTTACTCAATTACCCCTGAAATAGTCAAGATACAGTATATCAATCTGAACTAAAGTGGTGAAGTGACTAACTGAAGCACATTGCCATTTTTGTTTAGATCCATACCACAGGGCTAAAGATCTTTCTAAACTATAAACAGCAGAAAAAATGATTTAAGATGGTAAATAGTTTACATTATAACTGTCTTTACTCATGTTTTTATACTATTTATCGCTGCTTTTTGGATTTTAACTGTCTTTACTCATGTTTTCATACCATTTATCGCTGCTTTTTGGATTTGAATCATTAATAAGAGCAATATTTGGGTTCCGAATTTGTGCAACTTTGTTTTGGCTGGTGTGTATCCAGCCCAAACACTGTTATTGTTACTGATCATTTGATTAATAAATGTTTACTAAATAATCTGATAAGCACAAATAACACCTTTAACGGCAACATTTGTTACTATAAACACGGAGTACACGACACAGGGCTCAACACAGGAAACATTCACTTAAAGACACATACTGTAAATATGTTTCTGTCTGTAGAGAAGACCAGAGCACGCAGTGGGACCAATTCTTCTAACTGCTGCTAAGAAGACAGTGAATACTAGATCTTGGCTTCACATCAGCTTGGACTTTACAGGCAGATTCCTCTTACAATTAAAATATTAGTAAAATATTAGGATTAAATCAAGCAGTCTCTGCAATATTACGAATAACATATCTGCTGATGTTGATATACCCGTTGATGGGTATTAAGGCTACTGTAAAACTGTATGTAAAATGACATCATCATGCAGTTCAGCAGTGGAATTTCTGGTGGTCATATGACAAAGAGCTAAACTGTATTCAGTTGCTATTTCTTGTAAGGGACTGTCATAAGAGTCAGAAGAATAAAGAAAATGTACATGTGAAGCCACACACAAGTGCATGAACTGTAATTGTAGTCTATGCTGTTACCTGGTATCAGCATGGATTCACATGAGATGACTTTGAGCTTATATTTTCACTTGAATTTGTAATGTCTTGTATACTGACAGGAGCAAAACCTCGAGTGAAGAGCATAGAGCTCAGTGATCAAAACAGGAAGCTTTCTCAGAAAGACACATATGAATATGATTCACACTGTGAATCTGTTTCTGTCTGCAGAGAGGACCAGAGCTACCACTGAAATAAGGAAATCTACTAACTGCTCTCTAGAAGACAATGAATACCACATCTTGTTCTCCCATCAGCTTTGACTTTACAGGCAGATTTCTACCTCCTGTTTTCATCTTAGTGTTCATCATCGGTCTGGTTGCTAATGGATGGGGATTGAAGTCCTTGCTGCAGAACTGGAACAAACTAAAAATCATCAGTGTGTTTGTTCTCAACCTCGGCTTTGCTGATGTTTTGTACCTGCTCACACTCCCATTCCTGATGGTGTACTACTTTAAGGAGAGTACATGGACCTTTCTACAGTATATCCATCACAGTCTGGCTGCTGATGAGTGTTCAGAGTCTTCCAGACATGTTTTACACAGAAACATATAGAAACAAGCCTACGTAGCTGTAGTCCATCTAACGAGAGTGATGGGAAGAATAACTCTTAAGCACTCTGTGTCTATCTCCATCACAGTCTGGCTGCTGGTGAGTGTTCAGAGTCTTCCAGACATGTTTTACACCAAAACATACAGAAACAAGCCTGGGAAATGTTACGATACCACCCATAACAACTATGTTGAGGATTACCTGAAATACAGCCTTGGATGGACACTCAATGGGTTTTGTAACCCATTACTCATCACATGGGATGCTATGGACACGTGATTGTCATTCTCTGCAGGAAAAATACCACCGACAAAGTACTGAAACAGAGATGCTTGAAGTTGTTGTTTATCACGACTCTTCTTTTCACTGTGTGTTATATCCCCTTTAAAGAACCTCAACCTCTGGTCCAGAGTTTTGTCCAAACAGAAAATATATCATAAATGGTCTAATGGTGTCTACATTGCTCATCGAATCAGTCGTGGCTTTGTGTGTCTGAACAGTGCTCTCAACCCTTTGGTTTACCTCCATGGAAATGAAGACATTCTTACTCAGCTTCGAGGACTACTCCAACAGACCCGTCAAGCTGTCATGCGGCTGTCCATCACCACCAGTTAAGTCTCCCTGGTACATGCTCTCAACCCTTTGGTTTACTTCCATGGAACTGAAGATATTCCTGCTCAGTTCAGAAAGCTGCTCCAACAGGTTCATCGGTTGTTTAGCCGTCCACCCTGACAAACTCCTGCAGCATGCCCATGACACCAAATTAGAGCTGCCACCTATCCCTTAAAATATGGATTTGTCCTGTTTTGATAAATAAAATGCTCTGGCCTGTACTGAATATGGGACATGTACCTGTGCAGAAAGATGTGGCAGCTCATGTGTAAAAGAAGGCCATGTGCAAGCAAC